CACCAAATTTAGGAGAGGGGAACAGATTTGGGATTAAGTGAGGTAGTTCCTAAACTTTAAAGAAAGGGATTCAGAAGTTACAGTTCAACGTTGATAAACCAAGAGAGGCAAATCTTGTTATTTAGAGTAGTGAAATTAATCACTAGAAGAACTAAGATAAATGGTAAAATATGACTCTATTTGGTCAATGAAACTAATACTAGAGAGTAGAATGGGCAAATCCCGCAGTTCATTTTCTACCTTCATTTTCTACTGCATCATCACGGATCACACCCATGATAGAAAGGATGGCTAGTAATCTGTGCACACACATGCACATACACGTGCACATGGATCCAGCTGCGGCTCTGCAGCTCTGAGCATGCAAACTGTAAAAGATTGAATTACATAGGAATCAGGTCAAGAACACCAATTTGCCTCCAGATTTGTTTTCTTGATTAGAACACAGAGTAGCCTCACACCCCTCATGAGCTAAATCGGGTACAGAAAAGGAAGGAAATCCAATCCCAAGAGGTAACTGGAAAAATGCAAGGGTTTTGTCCCTAAGAAAAGCAAATCATAGAAACTTCTGTCTATCCTGATTTTGGACCATGGCTCCCAGGTATCCCACCAATACCAAACTTGCAAGATTAGTTGCTTATTTCATCTGTTTAAAAATACTCACAGAGTTGAGCATTCCACAGGCTAAAGCTACCATAAATTCTTACAAGTATGAACAAGAGGGACTTACGGTTTATTGGAAATACACAAGACTTAGAGTCCAAACACCTGGGACTGTTTTACCTGCATTCTTACCAGTTGATAGTAGATGATCTTGAGCAAATTATCACTCTAGCCTCAGTCTTGTCATCTGTAAAATGGGCTTAGCATTACTACCTATAGACTTGCTATTAAAGACTAAGCATAGACTTGCTACATATAAGAATGCTTGATCAAATGTAAAGTACACCCCAAAATGTTAGGTACTATTATTATCATTATTACAACAGTTGGTCCCAAAGGACATCTGTATAAACATAGCCATGGCATAATAAAAAATTCATCCTACTGCTAAAATCATAACCAAGGATAGCTCAGTTGGTTAGAGCACCATCCCCATTAGGCCAAGATTCCAGGTTTGATCTCCAGTCAGGGCACATACAAGAATCAATCAATGGGACTTCCGGTCAAGATGGTGGCGTAGGTAAACGCGGTATCGCGTCCTCCCACAACCACATCAAAGTTACAACTAAACTACAGAACAACCATCATTCAAAACCGCCTGAAATCAAGCTGAATGGAAGTCGTACAACTACGGAACTAAGGAAAAAAAAAAAAAGCAGCTACATCCAGACCGGTAGGAGGGGCGGCGGCGCGAGGGGGGGCGGCGGCGCCGCGGCGGCGGCGAGACAGGCTGGTCCCACACCCACGTGTGGCGGATAAAAATCAGGAGGATCCCGTGGCTGGGAAGGTCCTTCCTGAGGACTGAGGGGTCCCCGTCCCACACCAGGTGCCCCGCTCAGGGTTCCAGTGCCAGGAAGAGAATCCCCATCACTTCTGGCTGGAAAAACCAGCGGAAACTGAGGCTCAGGGAAGCTGAAGCGGCTGGAGCCCCAGGCAGCTCCTTAAAGGGCCCGCGCACGGACTTATCGGACTCTCTCCCTCTAAGCTTGGAGGGGAGGCAGCTCGAGGGGCACCAGAGACACACAGGGAAGAACTGAGCTGTTTGGCACTGGAGCGAGAGCTGGAGAGGGGGCTTCCTCGGGGACAAACGTGCTGTCAGAGGCCTTTGTTCCTTTGGTGAGCCCTTCCCGGGGGCGGGCAGCAGACAAAAGCCATATCTGGGACTCCAGCAACCTGGCTCACACTGGTAGCCCCGCCCTGCTGACTCCCTGAGGCCCCGCCCCGCCCCACACAACTTCAACAACCTGTTGCCACTTGCTTAACCATAGGATTGGCCGGTCTTGGATCCTGCTTCAGATTTTTCCTAAATTCTTTCAAACGAGCAGCACCGGGTCTCAGCGAGCCCCATACCTCTCATTAAGTAATACACTGAAACAAACACAGGGAGGCAGCCAAAATGAGGAGACAAAGAAACAGGTCCCAAATGAAAGAACAGAACAAAACCCCAATAAAAGAACTAAGCGAAAGGGAGATAAGCAACCTAACAGATACTGAGTTCAAAATACTGCTTATAAGGATGCTCAATGAACTTAGTGAGAACCTCAGTGAACTTAGGGAGGGCATCAAGAGCATAAAAAAGGACCAGTTAGAAATCATGGATACACAGTTAGAATTAAAGGAGGCATTAACTGAAATAAAGAATAATTTACACAGCTTCAATAATAGAGTATGTAGATCCAAGGAGCAAACCATCGATTTGGAATATAAGGAAGCAAAAAATCCCCAATCAGAAGAGCAAAAAGAAAAAAGAATCCAAAAAAATGAGGATAGAGTAAGGAGCCTCTGGGATAACTTCAAGCGTGCCAACATTCGCATCTTGGGGGTGCCCGAAGGAGAAGAGAGAGAACAAGAAATTGAAAACCTGTTTGAAACAATAATGGCAGAAAACTTTCCTAACTTGGTGAAGGAAACAGACATACAAGTCCAGGAAGCCCAGAGAGTCCCAAACAAGATGAACCCCAAGAGGCCCACACCAAGACACATCATCATCAAAATGCAAAAGGTTCAAGACAAAGAGAGAATATTAAAAGCAGCAAGAGAAAGGCAGCTAGTTACCTACAAGGGAGTCCCCATTAGGCTGTCAGCTGATTTCTCAAAAGAAACTTTGCAGGCCAGAAGGGAGTGGCAAGAAATATTCAGAGTGATGAAAACCAAGAACCTACAACCAAAATTACTCTATCCTGCAAAGCTGTCATTTAGAATCGATGGACATACAAAAACTTTCCCAGACAAGAAAAAGTTAAAGGAGTTCATCACCACCAAACCGTTATTATATGAAATGATGAAGGGTCTTTTTGAAGAAAAAGATAAAATGTATGAACAAACAAAATGGCAATGAATACATATCTATCAACAATGGAATCTACAAACAAAATGAACAGGAAGAACAGAAACATTCTCATAGATACAGAGAACATTTTATTGGTTGCCAGTTGGGAAGGGGGTTGGGGGAATGGGTGAAAAAGGTGAAGGGATTAAGAAGCACAAACTCATTGCTAGACTGACAAACCTCAAAGGGAAAGGGGTTGGGGGGGTGGGAAGAAATAAACCAAAGAACTTATATGCATAACCAATGGACACAGACAATAGTGTGGGAAAAGGTGGGAGGGGGGCGGGAGTGGGGAGGAGGGGGTCAATGGGGGAAAAATGTGGAACATCTGTAATACATTTTACATCCAACAATAAAGATTTGGAAAAAATAAAAAAATAAAAAAAAATAAAAAAAAAAGAATCAATCAATGAATGCATAAATAAGTGGAACAACAAATCGATGTCTCTCTCTCTCTCTCTCAAATCAATCAATTAAAATTAAAATAAAATAAAAAACATAACCAAGGAGAGGCATCTCTCTACTTGAAAAGGATGGATTATCACTCCCAGAAGACCTCACACAAGTCACAGTAACATTGGCGAAGCCAGTTCTTCCCCAGTGACTAACATCCCCATGTGCCTAGCATGGACCTCAGTCCACAGCTTTCAGTAAGAAAAAGACACATTAAAAGAATTGATTAATAAAAGCAGATTAGCATGGTGGGTAACAAGTAAAAAAATGGTTAAGTGTATTAAGTACTGTCCATTAGATTCCAGATCCCCTGGAACTGAATCCAGACCAATGCGTTGAAACAAGGCTGAAACTCACGGCTGAGAAAGCGCACAGAAAGAGGGGTGGCACTCGGGGGAGGGGACGGCAAAGCCAGCTCTTCAGGAAGGCAGCATCATGTCGAAGAACAGCCTGGGACATGGGTCAGGAAGGTAAGTTCTGGTCCCAGCGCTGCCGCAGGCTCTCTGGGAACCTCTGGGCAAGCCATTGCTCTCTCTGGCCTCAGTTTTCTATCATATGAGAGAGGACTTGCAAGACTACTTAGTACAGCAAATCGATCATTTAGAACACACTTAGGTGCCTATTATGGGCTAGAGAGTGTTGTCCGCACCAGGAACCTAGGGGAAAACAAACACAGACACCGTCCTCCTGCTGTGGACTTGACCCTCTGGACGATAGCCATCCAGCTCAAAGCTGTGGCATGCTCAGGCTCTGACTGCAGGCTGCGGGAGGCCAGAGAGGACAGTGAGGGCGCTGAATGACCAGAGGATGCGGCAATGCCCTCTTCCGGGAGCAGTGTTCTTTTTGAGAGCAGAAGCCAGGGTCCCTCACTTCCGTCTTGCTCCACTCCAGGCTTAGACTTTGAAGCTTAATACAGATCATGGCAGCCAACTGACTTCTAGGGTTCAAAGAAACTTCTGGAAATATAAAGATGCTTTGCTTTGTTTTTTAGTTAGATAACTAGACCTCTACCTTCAAGAAATGGGAAAATTATTAGATACATCTTTTTTTAAAAGGTTATCTGAAATGACTTACTGTTAATGGATAGGTGAAATTTCATAAAAAATGCATAATCACTGTATTAAGTGTTCCTAATCTGTTTTATCTAATAGAAAAAATGTAATATATATGTAATTGAAAAAGAAATGAATTATTTACTATATATAAACAGAACACCCCTTTTACCAAACATAAAGCCCCAGCATTGGTTTCTTTTTTCCTATTTTTTCTTTTTTTATTTAAATTTTGTATTGTATACACTATTGCAGGTGTCCCCCATTTCCCCCCCTTTGTCCACTTCCACCCAGCCCCCACCCCCAGCATTGATTTCTACAATATATGAAAATAGCGTACTTTGCATTCCTAAGAGCGTAATAGTACTGATTTTTGTTCTGCATTTCCTGTTGCCCATTTGTGTGAAAGAAGGAAACTTTTTAAAGATGCACGAGTCATACAGAGAGCTAACAAAGAGCGTCTCCAAAGAGGACCCGGCCCTCCTTCTCCGCAGCGCCCAGGCTCAGGACCGGCACGCGCGCACCGCCCTCCGCAGGGTGCTCCGACACGCTTGCTTCACCCTGGGGTTCCCCGCGATCAGTATGACAGAGTGCAGAGAAGGGTAAGCGGCCATCAGCGTCTCCGAGATGAGCACGGTGGTGAGGCTAACCGGGGACGACTTGGCGGTGATGGAGTAGGGGCTGGCCACGACGTAAACCAGGTAAAGCACAAGGAAGCAGACCAAGGACTTCAGGACCCTGATGTGAGCCGTGGCCTGAGCATCATTCCTGCCAGCCGTGTGCACCTTCATCTTCTTATGGTGCCTAAACAGAGAGACGATGAGCGCCCCGGAGGAAATGAGAAACACCGAGAAGGGCAGCCCACTTCCTGCGTTGAGCTGTAATATGTACAGATAGTGGCAGTGCGCGGCGGGGTGCGCCACGCTGCTGTTCCCTGGGGGAGCACTGCAGGGATTGAAGCCCATCTGGGTTACGAGCAGCAGATTGATCAGAAGGCACCCCAGAACGCACCCGGCACTCAGGACATAGGCCCTCTGCTTCAGCCACAGGTAGACCGGGTGTTCAAAGGTGGCAATCTTCTTGCAGTAGAAGAGACTGAGGAATGTGGCAAACCACAGGCTGGCCTGGCTGACCACTACCCAGAGGTCGCCGAGACGGAGGAACCAGTAGCTGCTCTGGAAGATGGAAAACACGATTAAGTCCACCATGATCAAGCACTGCAGCAGAAATCGGCAGCCAGCCAGGCCCAGGACAATGAGGTTGTAGGAGGACCCCTTGAATTTCCTGACCCATCCTACAAAACTCCAGACCACAAGGACTCCATTTCCAACCAGGCCAATGAGAAACTCAGCGACAGCCACCACCATCAGCAGTCCTAAGACGGTGACCTGCATGGTTGGGAAGGAGCCCCTCACGCCGGAGGTCTCAGGAGGTGCTCTGCTTCCCCGCAGGTGAACGTGCCAGGCTCCTGGCTGAGCGTCAGATCCCCTGGGGGTAACACCGCTCTCACAGTCAACGTTCACACCAGAAAACCTGGATTTGGCCTTGCCCTTCTGTAACCTGCCCTCGAACAGAGACTGAACAGTGTGACCAGGAACAAAGAACTCAGTCATGGGCCCTTCTGCATTTGCATTCACACGAATCAGCTCTGAGCCGACTCAGATGTTTGAAACGGTGACACAGACACCTGCTTTCCTTCTCCAGGGTCATCGGCTGACGTCCAGACCCCAGCACATAATGTGACCAAACCTCTCAACAAGAGAGTCCAGTCCAGTCATTCTCGGGTTCTATGCCCGATGTGAGCTCACATGTACCAAAAAGAAATGTTGTTTCCACAGAAAGGACTCAGAACATAGAAGCATGAAAGCTGAGTAGACACATTTAAAACGTAGTTCATTATCAAAGAGAAGTAGAAGTATGAGGAAGAAAACAATCAGAAAGCCAGAACATTATATTTAAGAGCCAAATAATAAAAAATATATAGGTCAGGTAGAGAAGCGATTTGTGTTAGTCAGGGTCTTTGAAGTCACCTGAGCTTTGGGATCAAGTATCCTCGCACATGTGACTCAGCAAGTATCTCACATCAAGGAAGGAGATGAGGAAGAAGATGAACTCAAAGAAGTGGCGGGGGGGGAGGGTGGGAATGACTAGCACGGTTATCAAGAAATAGAGGGAAAAGTCCGGCCGGTGTAGCTCAGTGGTTGAGCCTCGACCCATGCACCAAGCGGTCGCTGGTTTGATTCCCTGTCAGGGCACACGCCCAGGTTGTGGGCCAAATCCCCAGTGGGGGGCATGCAGGAGGCAGCCATTCAATGTTATTTCTCATCGATGTTTCTATCTCTCTCTCTCACTTCCTCTCTCTCTCCAAAAAAGAAGAAATAGAGAGAGGGAAACTGCTCCATTTATTGTCCAGATGCAAACTTCCCTGGGACTGGCCCCACACAGAGGTGTCTGTGGAAGACTAAATTCTAAGACAACTCCCAAGACTTCCACCCCGAATAATCCTCGAGCTGCAATGAGACTGAATTCTACCCACAACCAGTGAGCTTGAAAGAGTACTCTGAGCTTCAGGAAAGAGACAGCCCATCCAACATCTCCAGGGCCGCTTGTGAGACCCTGCAGAGAGGGCCCACTTAGGTCGGCCCAAACTTCCTGATCCACAGAGGCTGTGACATGCCATGGATGTCCTTTCAAGCTGCTAAGTTTGTGTGGCTACACAGGAAATAGAAAGGCAGGGCAGGACAGTATTCAAACCAAGCTAGAAACGACTCTGATGAAGTGAGAACAAGGAACTGGATGGGAAACGAGGAGGGCTTGGCTAGCTCTTTAGGAAGGCAACGTGAGGGTAGGGAGAGAGTTCTGTCCGAGAGGCCAGGAGCTCCAGCGTCTGGTCCCAGCACTGCCGTGGGCGCTCCATGAGGGTGCAGGCTAACCGCTGCCCTCCCTGGACTTCAGCTGGTCTACAAGTAACATAAAGGACTGTGAGACCAGCTCTCCATTCATTCGCATAAGAGTGCTTATTGTGCGCCAGGCAGTGTACCAGGCACAGGAACACAGCAGTGAGCATGCATGGCCCCTGCTCCCAGGGAGCACACCTTGTGCACCATCTCCACCCAGGTGCAAGACCTGGTGCCTGAAAACTCTGGCTGCAGCTAGGGAGACGCAGAGGAGAAAGTCGCACCAGCCACAGGCCAGAAGACCTGGAGACAGCATGGACCTCTCCAAGAGCAGGGTTTCTCATCGTTTATTGTTTGTTTGTTTGATTTCTATTGCATTTGTTGGGGTGACACTGGTTCATTGCAGCATTATTTACAATAGCCAACATCTGGAAGTGGCCCAAGTGCCCATCAGTAGATGAGTGGATAATGAGTGGATAAAAACGCTGTGGTACATTTACACAATGGAATACTACTTGGCCATTAAAACAAAAAGGAAATCTTACCTTTTGCAACACCATGGATGGACCTGGAGGGTGTTATGCTAAGTGAAATAAGCCAGTCAGAGAACGAAAAGGACAGCGTTTCTATGGTGACTTTGACAGCAGACATAACTACCCCTCTCCTCCCTGCCCTGTCCCGCCCTAGGTTGTAGCCAGTGGAATGTCATGCAATGCACAGTGGTCAGCTGACGTATATCCAGAAAGCCCACTCTGGCCTCAAAAAAGTGCAATAAGTATGATGGTTTCTTGACAAACTTCTTTATTACTGGTGTTAAGAAAGGCTACATCACATAGAGAACTGACATAATTAGTTAATTCCAGCACAAAAAACACTTGACTAAAAAATATCTAGCACCCTGGCCAGTCTGGCTCAGCGGTTAGAGTGTCAGCCCGTGGTCCAGAGAGACCCGGGTTCGGTTCCCACTAAGGGCACGTACCTCGGTTGCAGTTAGTCCCCAGCCCTGGTTGGTCATACAGGTGACAGCCACTCGATGTGTCCCTTTCACATCGATGTTTCTCTCTCTCTCTCTCATCCTCTCTCTCTCTCCCACTCTATCTGAACAAAAAATGGAAAAATGTCCTCGGGTGAGGGGAAAAAAAATCTAGCAATTAGTGCACAGGTTTGTGGGGTTTTTTTAATGCACATGACTAAAATAATAGCTATTTTCTACTTCCCCTCATCAGGGGAGCCATAGTGTGTTGCAGAGAAAATTAAATTATCTGCAGTAATTTAGAAAAATGTGATACTTCCCATGCAAAACATGAAAATTCAGTTTTGACTTCTGGAATTTATTAAAATAATGAAGTTTGCATTGCTAGAGAGCAAAAGCTCTGGTTTCTACTCTGTTTTTCATGTTACCCTCTGATTTTATTTTATTTATTTATTTATTTTTTTAATCCTCACCCAAGGACACTTTTCCATATTTTGTTCAGATAGAGCAGGAGGGAGGGAGGGAGGGGAGAGAGAGAGAGAGAGAGAGAGAGAGAGAGAGAGAGAGAGAGACATCGACGTGAAAGGGACACATCGAGTGGCTGCCACCCACACGACCCAACCAGGGCCGGGGACAAACTGCAACCGAGGTACATGCCCTTAGCGGGAACCGAACCCGGGGCTCTCTGGACTGCAGGCCGACGTTCTAACCACTGAGCCAAACCGGCCAGGGCATACCCTCTGATTTTAAATCAGGAAAAAAGTTTTAATTTTACTTGGTCGTCCAGTAAATTCACTTCACTGCTGCAATTATCTGGAGTAGGGGCTGACCAGACCTTGGTCCCACGCGGTGGCCCCTAGGATCTCCCAGCGCAGGCCACCTTCCGCAGAACCCTCGGCCCAGTTGGATTCCTCGGGCCGTTACGATAGAAGGGAGAGAAGTGTGGGCGGCCAGGCGTGTCTCGGAGATGAGATCGTGGTGAGCTCGGAGCGGGAAGAGTTGGACATGATGGGAGAAGGCTGGCCAAGGCACAAAAAGCCAAGTAAAGGAGAAAGAAGTAGCTACAAGATTTCCATTTCAAAGAGTCAGCGATGAAACGTTCACCCAAAAAGTGCCCTCCCCCCACTAAGCTGCAAGGCTAAGGACAGTTCCACCCCCTCATCTACACCTGACGTTTCAGTGACACACACTGTGCGTTCCAGTGCACAGGCCGCCTTTCCAGCGCCTCCTAGCATTGTGCCCACATGGCCACTAGATGGCATCAGGCAGCTCTTCCGTAGCGGCTGTCCACTTGAGCAAATCAATTCCCTTCGTGCGCTGTATGAGTCCAGAAATTCGGAGACCGAGCAGACTAAGCACACTGTTAACAAGCATGCATCGTGGAAACGAAAATGGTAAGGTATATTCAGAGTCTTTCCCGCCTCTTTCCCCACCACCGGATGAGGGTGTGGCGTCTGCTCCCTGGGTCAGTGCGGGACCGGCAGGCGCAGGAATGCATCCCTGGCCTGCTTGCAGCGAGGACCGCGGTCCCCGAGGAAGAACGCCATGAGCTCGAGGAGCACTGCAGGGATGGAGAATGTGAATGGAGTGAAAACAGAGTGAAAGGACTCGGCAGATGACAGGGGAGCTGCTTCCCTAAGTATCAAGATTAGGGAAGGGAGCTGAGCGCTGTAGGCAAGATTTGGGAGACCCGAGGGAGGTTGGGCTTCATTCCCCTTCCCCTGGGAGTGAGCTGGACTGAGAGGCTGCTGAACAAGAGAAGGGAGCTGGAGTCACTGGGCTGTGGAGAAACCTGGCGGACACCACCTTAAGCAAGCCAAGGTCACATGGCCAGTGCTAAGCCACGATGATACCGTTGCCCATGATGAGATGTGATGAGAAGGGCACTGCCCCTCCCCAAAGGCCCATAACTCTAGTCTAACCTGAGAAACATATCAGACAAACCCAGAGAGAGGGACATTTCACTAAATGCCTACACAGTGATCTTTACACTGTCGAGGCTCTGAAAGCCAAGGCGGGGTTGAGAAACATCATGGACCAGATGGACCAAGAATACCTGACGGCTACCTGCAGCCTGTGTCCCTTACTGGATCCTGGAAAAGAAAAAGAACATGTGTGGGAAAACGGGTCAAGTCTGAATGGGGTCGGCGGTTTAGTTAGTAGGTAACGTATCAATGCTAGTTCCTCGCTGTTAACAAACGTGCCAGGTTATGTAAGATAGTAACGCAGAAAAACAGCGAGGGGAACAGGGGGCCTCTCTGGAATCTGCAACTTTTCTGTAAAATAAAAACATTCAAGCTTGATTTTTGAAACGTTATAGGAAACTCAGTTACAGAAAATTGTTTGTATGAAAATTGGGGTTCTGACAAGTTGAGCGCTGTGTTTTCCTGTGTTTTCCTGAGTTTCCTGTGTTTAAAGGAGACTGTAGTTTCCCCCAACATGGTAAGATCATGCTAGGAAGAGTCAGACCACAGGAATGGCGGCCAGGGCTCTGGAGCTCTGCTCATCCACAGCCAAGCGCTCC